GCGGGGGGCCCGCCAGTGGAGAAGAAGGGTCGCAACAATGTTGCGACCCTAGGGCAAAGTTCTGGGCTTCGGCCCAGAACTGAAAAAAAAAAAAAGGAAGCACAGGCCCGATTGGGCCTGTGCAATTGAAGTAAGGGCCGCAGGTAATAACCTGCGGCCATCCTAGGGTAAAGTTAAAGTTCTGGGCTTTGGCCCAAAACTGAAAAAAAAAAAAAAAAAAAAAACGTGCCAGTTCAAGCCCGTGACAGAGAACAAAAGCACAGGCCCAAGGGCCTGTGCATTAGAACTAAAGGGCCGCAGGTAATTACCTGCGGCCATAAGGAATATAATTGCTGCTTTTTTGGCAATTATGGGTTTGTTTTAAACCCAAGTTTGGAGATTTTGGGCATTTTTTTTAACCCATTAAAAAATTAAGTGCAAATTAATTAAGGATTCAATTGAATAAAATTAAATTTCGGTTCTTTATTTTGTTTTATTTGATTATTGCACTTAATTGTCTTGTATTTTAAAATAAATTGATTGAAATAATATTGTTGCTAAAGTAACCTCTGTTGTAGATGTTGATTTATTTTAAAATATAAAGATGAGTACACTTCTTATTTATGCGAATAATGATCGGCTCAAAGAAAGGTTATTATTTGGCCGAATAATGGGTATACATGTGGTAATAAATATGTGACAATTATTAAGCTCTCCATGTGAGCAATAGTCGGCCCAAAGGAAGGCTAGGGGGGGACAGGAGTTATTGGCAAGAGTTGAGTACTGCGTGGAGAGTACCACTTACAAGCTGATATTTTTGGTCCAAAGACTAAATATCAGTGTTGTGCTAGGTATCTTGAAATGGGCCCACTACCTTGCTTCGAGTTATTTGTTTATGTCATGTATGCATTATATGGTTGATTATGCTTATGTATGACGTGAATGTTGATTATGAGTATATTTTATTTTTGTTTTCTATTTAGTTTCTGCTACTGTTGTGAATGTTTCAGCTCAAGCTAATGCAATCCCAATGCTGAATGGGACGAATTTTAAAGTTTGGAAAAAGAACGTGGAAATCGTTCTCGGATGTATGGACTTAGACCTTGTGCTCAGGACAGAGCGTCCTACTGCTATTACAGAAAATCCGAACACGGATAAAATTGAGAAGTGGGACCGCTCTAACTGCATGAGTCTAATGATCATGAAACGCTCCATTCCGGAAGCGTTTCGGGGCTCTATTACTGAGAGCACTAATGCCAAGAAGTTTCTCAAAGAAATTGAGCAATATAAGACTGAAAGTGCTCACTTGGCATCAACCTCTCGGAATAAGAACAAAATGAGAGATAAGGATACTGCAAAAGGAACACCTAAGCAGAAGAAAGTCAAGAAGTAGGATGAGGAATTCACCTGCTATTTCTGCAAGAAGGAAAAGACTCTCGTTATGGTTTGTTCTGAAGTTAATTTAGCTTATGTACTTAAAGATACTTGGTGGGTAGATTCTGGTGCTACTACTCACATTAGTATGTCTATGCATGGTTGCCTATGGAGTCAACCGCCAAGTGATGCTCAAAGATTCATTTTTGTGGGCGATGGCAAGAAAGTTCCAGTAGAAGCTATCGGAACATTTAGATTATTATTAAAGACTGGTGTCTATTTGGATTTGATTGAGACTTTTGTTGCACCGTCATTTAGACGGAATTTGGTTTCTATTTCTAGTTTGGATAAATCCGGTTATTCTTGTTCCTTCAGAAATAATAAAGTTAGTCTCTCTCATAATTCAAATGTTGTTGGTACCGGTTCCTTGATTGATAATCTTTATATGCTTGATATTGTTACTTCTGATAATGAAATTTTGCACACTAGTGCACGAGGTACAAAGCGAAAATTAAATGAGAATTCTGGCACCCTATGGCACAAGCGTTTAGGTCATATCTCTAAACAGAGAATTCAGAGGCTTGTCGGTGATGGAATTCTTGGTCCCCTAGATTTGACAGACTTTCAAGTTTGCATTGAGTGCATCAAGGGAAAACAGACAAACACAAGGAAATTAGGTGCTGACAGGGTCACAGACGTCTTAGAACTTATTCATACAGATATATGTGGACCATTCCCTACGGCTTCATGGAATGGTCAACAATACTTCATTACGTTCATAGACGATTATTCAAGATACAGTTACCTATACTTAATACATGAGAAATCACAGTCACTGGACGTTTTCAAGGAATTTAAAGCCAAAGTTGAACTTCAACTAGGCAAGAAAATTAAAGCTGTCAAATCAGATCGTGGTGGCGAATACTACGGCAGATATGATGGATCAGGTGAACAACGTCCATGACCATTCGCTATCTTCCTAAAAGAATGTGGAATTGTCCCGCAATACACAATGCCAGGCAAACCTAGCATGAATGGTGTTGCTGAGAGACGAAACAGAACTCTTAAAGACATGGTGAGAAGCATGATTAATCATTCTTCTTTGCCTGAATCGCTTTGGGGAGAAGCATTAAAGACTGTAGTTTATATCCTTAACAGGGTTCCAAGCAAAGCAGTAACCAAAACCCCTTATGAACTATGGACAGGAAAAAGACCTAGCATTAGGCATTTACATGTTTGGGGTTGTCTAGCTGAGGCAAGGCCTTATAGGCCAAATGAAAAGAAACTGGACTCAAGAATGGTTAGTTGCTATTTTGTTGGATACGCTGAATGCTCTCGGGGCTTCAAGTTTTACAATCCCACTACTAGGTCCTTCTTTGAGACGGGAAATGTGAGATTCCTTGAGGATGTCGAGTTTGGGGGAGAAGATAAAGTAAGGAGTGTTGTCTTTGAGGAAGAAGATTTTGTTTCTCTTCCTAATATTGCTATTGTCAATGACCAGGTTGTAATACCTGCCATTGTTCAAGACGCAACTCCGGAACAAGACAACAATGAGGTTCCCCATGTAGCACCTATAGAGCAAACTCAACAACCTCAAGAAGTGCCATTAAGGAAATCCACTAGAGAAAGGAGAAGTGCGATTCCGGATGATTATATCGTCTTTCTCCAAGAACATGAAGATGGTGTAGGCTTAGGGGAAGATGATCCTATCAACTTCCAACAAGCCTTACAGAGTTCTAATGTTCAAAAGTGGATTGATGCCTGAAGAATGAGATAAAATCTATGAAAGACAATGACGTTTGCGATCTTGTCGAGTTGTCTAAAGGAACGAAACCCATAGGTTGTAAATGGATATTTAAGACCAAAAGGGATTCGATAGGTAACATCGAAAGATATAAGGCTCGTCTAGTCGCCAAAGGATTCTCTCAGAAGGAAGGCATAGACTACAAAGAGACTTTCTCTCCGGTTTCTTCGAAAGACTCTTTTAGGACAGTTATGGCACTTGTGGCTCATTGAGACTTAGAGCTACATCAGATGGACGTTAAGATAGCGTTTCTCAATGGCGATATTGAGGAGACAATTTATATGGTCCAGCCAGAAAACTTTGTATCTGGAGATTCAAAGTCTATGGTCTGCAAGTTAAAGAAGTCCATCTATGGTCTCAAACAGGCTTCCCGTCAATGGTATCACAAATTTCATCAAGTTATCACTTCCTATGGTTTTAAGGTGAATGTAGTCGATGATTGTGTATATCACAAGTTTAGTGGGAGTAAATTCATCTTCCTAATTTTGTATGTCGATGACATATTACTTGCCAGCAGTGATATAGGTTTATTGCATGAAACCAAGAAATTTCTTACTAAGAATTTTGAGATGAAAGATCTTAGTGACGCCTCTTTTGTATTAGGAATTCAGATACTACGAGATCGCTCTCAAGGTATCATTGGGTTATCACAAAAGAGCTATATCGAAAAGGTTCTAGATAGATTTGGCATGAATAATTGTTCATCAGGAGATATGCCTGTAGCTAAGGGAGACAAGTTTAGTCTCAGTCAATGCCCCAAGAATAAACTTGAGATAAAGGAAATGGAAAAGATTCCTTATGCATCAGCAATAGGAAGTCTAATGTATGCTCAAGTTTGCACTCGTCCCGACATAGCATTTATAGTGGGAGTATTGGGTAGATACTTAAGTAAACCAGCATTGGAAAGCAGTCAAACGGGTTATGCGCTATTTAAAGAGAACAAAGGATTACATGCTCACTTATCGGAGATCAGACAGACTAGAGATCATCGGGTATTCTGATTCTGATTTTGCTGGATGCTAAGACAGTAAGCGATCCACGTCAGGCTATGTTTACATGTTGGCAGGAGGAGTTATTTCTTGGAAGAGTGTCAAGCAGACACTCATAGCTTCTTCTACCATGGCTGCAGAGTTCATAGCCTGTTATGAGGCATCTAATCATGGGATATGGTTGTGAAACTTTGTCACGGCGCTGCGTGTGGTTAATGGTATTGAAAGGCCACTAAAGATTTTTTTGTGACAATAAATCGGCAGTGCTATATTCTAATAACAACAGAAGCTCTACGAAGTCGAAGCATATAGACATTAAGTTTCTTGTTGTTAAAGAAAGAGTTCAGAGTGGTCAGATTTGGATAGAACACATCGGGACAAACTCCATGCTTGCGGATCCGCTAACCAATGGCTTAACACCCAAGGTCTTTCACGAGCACACTGCTCATATGGGTGTTATTTTATTTGAGGATACTATGGTTTAGTGGGAGTTGATTTTGGATGTTCTATGACATAAACATTATTTGTTTATTTTCTACAGAATAAAGAAGATGGAATTACAGTTTTATAGTTTTCCCTCTAAATGTGTTAATTTTCTGTTTGCAATCTTGCATTATGTTTTGAAAATTACAGATTGATCTCATAAAGAATAAAGCATAACCAATTAGAAATAGGAATGTTGGAGATCACATTGCATGTATTTTCATGCCACTCATCCATACTCGATCTATGTCATTGAATATGTTGGTATGATGACCATGGAAGGTTTAGTTGCATTTGAGGGTGACAAAAGCCGCCATGATCTCATGCTAATATAAGAGATGGACCAGATTGTATCTTAAGTGGAGACTAAAGATAAATAGCATACAGTTGCGCGCCTAAGGAATTATGTATGATATAATTATTTCAGGAATCGTATGTAGCCAAAGTGGGAGATTGTTAGGAAACGTGAGTTTCCTATATTGTGGGCCACATATTTATTCAATAATTATATTAAGCTATTTAATTATTTGGGCTAATTTAAGTGATCTAATTATGGAAAGCCCAACTAGTCTCCTAACAGGGTATGGACTGAATGGGTGGATACCCATATTGACCCAATTAAGTTTAATAGGAGCCTAATGGGGCAGTATATAAAGAAACTAAAGTTATGTCCTCAATATGTCAAATCATAAGGCAGTTTTTATTCTTTCCCATCTAGAGAGAAAACACTCATTAAGGAACTAAGAGATTTGACTGAGGAAGGCAATAACTGTCGTGCTCGTTATCTTAGAGAATTCTACCGGAGATCTAAAGGCTGCATCAATGGAAACAGAGAATTCTACCGGAGATCTAAAAGCTGCATCAATGGAAACAGGTCAGAGTTCTAACTTATTTTCTTAATAATTTAGTGTGATAATTCTTGAAATGTGAAATAAAAATTTAAAGATCTAACATAACTTTGTCTAAATAGCTATAAACAGCATGTAAATATCTGTTTATAGCTTTATGGTCCATTTACAAAGAAAGATAGTGAGAGCTGTATGGTGCAGGGTGGTCGACCCCCGCTAGGTGGTTAGCGCGGAGGCGAGGGCTTTGTTGTGGGCTGTTTCTTTAGCTGGGAAAAGTGGAATGCATCAACTGGTGTTTCTTTACCCAAGGCTTTGTTGTCTGGAAAGTGAAGAAGTACAGGTTGGAGAGTTTTGCCTTGTCTCAAGATTGTCAATACTTCTCCTTTAATTGGGTGGGCAAGACGGGCAATGTAGCCGCCGATAAGATGAGTTGGTGGGCCCTTTCTTCTCTTTTTTCACCCTTAAAAGGATTTGTGGTGTCAGCCTCAAATTATCACATATTTGTTTAATTCGTGTTTTGTATTTTAACCTCATTAAGCGTTAGTTCTCTGGGTAGCCAGGACCCTTTCTTCTCTTTTTTTTTTTAATGTAATATTAATAATTTTAAATTGCACTATTTAGTCAGTATTTTTTTTTAAAGAAAAATTTCAATTAAATCTCAAGAATTGGCTTTTAAATATGTCAATGTTTTCAAACTTAAACTCCAAAAAACAAAAAATTAACTATAATACTATGTAAATTTATAATTTTGGGACTCAACTTTAAAACTAAATTAAACTGCATTAAAATAAATTAGAGTTTAGTCGAATTGAAAAAAAAAATACAAATATCTCAACTTAAGAAAGTACGAATGCATTGTTATTCTAGTTCAAAATTTTTATTTCATTCATGCCCC